AAGAAGGAGAAGGAGAAGGAAGAGGAGGAGAGGAGGAGGAGGAAAAGAAGGAGGAGGAGAGGAGGAGGAGAAAAAGGAGAAAAAAGAGGAGAATGAGAAGGAGAAGGAGGAGGAGGAGAGGAGAGGAGGAGGAGAAGAGGAGGAAAAGGAGGAGGAGGAGGAAGAGCAGGAGGAAAAGAAGGAGAAGAAAGAGGAGGAGGAGAAGAGGAAAAGGAAGAGAGGAAAAGGAAGAGGAGAGGAGGAGGAGGAGGAGGAGGAGGAGGAGGAGGAGGAGGAGACACAGTCACAAAGAAGGCTGAGCAAGAGACAGTCAACCCGCTCCCTCCAGGCCCCCTTGCCCAGCCGGCTCCCTCTCAGCCCAGGCCTTCCTGCGTTTTGGGAAAACATCTGGGCAGGTGGGATGCTGGCACATGCTGGTGGGAGGGCAGCAGGGAATTAAAAGGAAGGGGCTGCGCTGACCCCCTGGACCATTTCTCTCCTGCGGCAGCCCTGGGAATAGCACCAGCCAGGTGGAAGGAAGCAGCCCTGAGGGAGAAGCAAGCAAGGACCCCCCCCCCTTCCGATCCACCCACCTGCCTTCTGGCCCTAGAGAGCAGGGCAGGCAGTCTGCCCCAGGGGTCTTGTAGTCCAACCCCCTGCTTCTCAAGCGGGGGACTCGCCAGGACCATTCCGGACAAACGTCGTCCAGTCTCTTCTTAAAAGCCTTCAGTGTTGAGTTGTCATGGTTAAGAAATTTTTCTGTTAGGAAATATTTGTATATTTCCTGGAAATTTTCTATATGCCTGTTATATACTGCATTGTATATTATGGGAGGGAGGGAGGGAGAGAGAGAGGGGGGGGAGGGAGGGAGAAAGGAAGGAAGGAAGAAAGGAAGGAAGAAAGAAAGAGGGGAGGGAGGGAGGAAAGAAAGAAAAAGAAAGAAAGAGGGAAGGAAGGAAGGTAAGAAAGAAAGAAAGAAAGAAAGGGGAGGAAGGAAGGAAGGGAGGGAGGAAGGAAGGAAAGAAAGAAGGAAAGAAAGAAAAAGAAAGAAGGAAAGAAAGAAAGAGGGAAGGCAGGAAGGAAGGAAGGAAGGAAGAAGAAAGAAAGAAAGAAAGAAAGAAAGAAAGAAAGAAAAAGAAAGAAAGAAAGAAAGAAAGAAAGAAAGAAAGAAAGAAAGAAAGAAAGAAAGGGAGAGGAAGGATGGATGGATCAGCCCTCTGGAGTCAAAAAATGCAGATGACGAACCCCTTTTATGTCCCCTCCACACGGGACACATCAGAGAAGGAAGCAGGGGGGGTTGACCAGGGGTCTACGGCCACCATCTTGACCCTCATGGACATGCCCGATATGGGTCTCCCTCCTCCCCAGGAGGTGGTGGGGAAATGTCTCCAAAACCATTCAAGGACGTCGGCCTTCCCATCTCACCAAGCATAAACATCTGCAGGAAGCCCTGCACGCATGCTCTGAAAGCTACTGAAATTTTTTTCCCACCTTCAGCCATCCTCACCACACAGGAAGGAAGATGCCACCACCCCTTGGATGTGGCCAAGCCCCAGCAGGACAGCTCCAGAGCCTGCTGGAGAAGACCTGGAACAGCGCAGAGAGGAGACACCAGCAGGGTCTCCCTCCTGTCCCAAGCATCCACCTTCAAACACAACAAGAAGATTGTGGGACAGGAGCTCCTGGGTCCTGCTGGCTGCTTCGAGACGAAGCCAGAGAGGGACGTTGGCATTGTAGACCCCGAGGTCATCTCAGAAGACCTTCAGAAGACCGATGCAAGACAGCTGGCTCATCTGTGGCTTGGAGACCAAGACACCTCAGAAGTAGACACCCAACTGAAGTCAAAGCTGCTACCATGTCTTATCTGACTTTGCCGGGGCTTAAAATTGGAAGTCTGCTTTTTAAGGATGAAATCCTTCAAGATACCATACAACAGGGATCTTCCAACTTGGCCCTTTGATGGCTTGTGGACTTCAACTCCCAGAATTCCTCAACCAGGCATGCTGGCTGAGGAATTCTGGGAGTTGAAGTCCACTCCTCTTAAAGTCTATATCAGGGGCCTTCCAACTTGGCCTTTTATCACTTGTGGACTTCAACTCCCAGAATTCCTCAGCTAGGCATGCTGGCGGAGGAATTCTGGGAGTTGAAGTCCACTCCTCTTAAAGTCTACATCAGGGGTTTTCAAACTTGGCCCTTTGATGACTGGTGGACTTCAACTCCCAGAATTCCTCAACCAGGCATGTGTGCCTGGCTGAGGAATTCTGGGAGTTGAAGTCCACCAGTCATCAAAGGGCCAAGTTTGAAGACTGCTGCCGTACAAGGTCAAAAACCCTTGGAAATAAGATATATATTTTTTTAAAGCCCCCCAATTTTGTACCTGCTACTTGTGATTGCTGTTAAAAGTCCAACGCTATTGTTCACTTATGTTCACCGTCTTCTTCTCCTGTGCTGCTGAATCTTGAGCAAAGTTTTTATTGGGGATTTTCATTGCTCTCCCCTGCTTCTTCCACCTGCTTGCTCTTCTTGGTAGTCCTCACTTGGGGGCACCCAACAGCCCTGTGACTCAAGCCGCTTGCTGATTGGCTGCTGGGGGTCCTCAGCAAAGCATTCACAATCCCCAGCAGATCTGCAGCTGAAGGGAAAGTGGGATTGTGACCTCATTGGATGGGAGGAGAAGGACACACACACACACACCGGGCCTTGCATCCAGCTTGGATCACCACAATATTAAAAAATAAATAAAAAATGTTGAGACTCTAGAACCGGGGTGCCGCGGGCCGGTTGGTAGTACGTGGTGTCAAGGTCGTTTCGTTCTTTTCAACACTATGCAGTGCTATGTAGGACTGCACCGTTTAAACTGTGGGTACGAGATCTTTCTCACGTCTCTTCTCGTTATTTCTACTAGTCCCCTCTGACCTCCGATTTTGTATACTTCTTGTCAACGTCCTTAACCCACACAGATCATCAAATTACTTCTCTTCCTCGAGGGGGGACACGATAGCAGTGTTCCAATATCTCAGGGGCTGCCCCAAAGAAGAGGGAGTCAAGCTATTCTCCAAGGCGCCTGAAGGCAGGACAAGAAGCAACGGATGGAAACTAATCAAGGAGAGAAGCAACCTGGAACTAAGGAGAAACTTACTGAATGGGAGAACAATTAACCAGTGGAACAACCTGCCTACAGAAATTGATTCTGGGACATGTGTTTGGAAAGGAGAGGGACATTCTCAACTCATGAAGGCAGGTGAACATGAACATTTAACCGTGCAGATTGTGTGTGTGTGTGTCTATCTATCTATCTACCATAGACCAGGGCTTTTCAACCAGTGGTACGGGTACCACCTGTGGTACATTGGCACCTGGCAGATGGTACGCGACCATCCTAGAAAAGTAGCAGGGGAGGGGAATGAGCTGAACCGGTGGCAGCACCGCACAAGCCTGAGCGAGAGACGGCTGGAGCTGCAGGGCTGTCAGGGCTCAGCGGAAGCGCCAGGATCAGTGCCGCTTTCCAGCTGATCGGCGCTTCTTCGGGGCTGTCAGGGCTGAGCGGAAGCACCAGGATCAGCGCCAGGATCCAGTTGGAGCTCGGCGCTGATCCTGGTGCTTCTGCTGAGCCCAGAAGAAGCGCCGATCAGTTGGAATGTTGCAGCCTCTCCAGGGTCTTGTGATTTACATTCAGATGCTTGGCAACTGATTCATATTTATGACGGTCACAGTGTCCCAGGGTCATGTGAAGGGACCAAAACCTGCTGCAACCACCCAGCAGACTGGGGGTAATAAAAACCAAACACTCCCCCCCCACCCCCTGCCAATCCTCAACAGAAATGCTCACAAGAGTGGAAACCTTGGACAGGAGGAAGAGTGCCGCTGGGCGGGCAGGCAGGTGTCTTGTTCGGCTGTGGCTTGGGGGGCACTTTTTTCAGTGCCATTGTAACTTCAAACAGTCACTAAGCGAACTGTTGTAAGTCGAGGACTACCTGTACTTTATCACTTTTTTCCCTTTTTTTGGTCAAGTTTTTGACACCTTGCTTAGGTGACTGGTGGTACTCGGATGTTGCCGTATCCTAAAAGTGGTACAATGGGTGAAAAGGTTGAAAAACCCTGGGAACTGTTGTTAAGTGGAGGACGACCTTGGTACGAAGTTATTGGGGGGGGGAGGAAAAAATCTCACGCAAAATAGCTGACAAAGAGGCCGATCTTGTTCAAACAGCCGGACTGAAAAGCTTCTTAACGTTTTACAAGCAGGCAAGGCCTCCCCCCACCCCCCCCTTTTTTTAAAAATGCATCGGCCACAATAAGAAGAGGAAGCAACGGAGGGCCCCGGCGAAGCCCCTCCTGGGGTTGGCCATTCATTTGCCAAAATGGAGGCTCAGCTCCTTCTCCAGCCCCACCACAAACTGGTCGTTCAGGAAGAGCAGCTGTCCGTGGGGCAGGAACTTCTCCAGGACGGCCTCCGTCCGGTCGGCCTTCAGGAGCGCCTCGCTCCCCGGGGTCTGAAGCTTCAGGTGCTCCAGCAGAGCGTTCGCCAGGCGTTTCAGTGTGGCCTCCGCCAGCATCAGGTTTTCCTCAGGGTCACAAACCAGAACAAAAGCCAAGGCCTGGACCCCCAGCCAGAGCACGGTTGCGTCCTCGGGGAAGGGGTCCCCTGCGGGGAGGCGGAAGACCCCAGAGGGGGTCTCCGGGAGAGAAACAGCTTCGTCGGACAGCAGCGGCTGGTGAAGGTGCTGGGAGGGACGCTTCCCGGAGAGAGTCTGCTGCAGCCGGAACGCCGTTTCCACCTGCCTGAGGACACAGAGGAAGGGAAAGGCTGCTGGAATTGGGCATGTCTAGTTTAATGAAGAGAAGGACGAGGGGGGACAGGATGGGCAGTCTTCCAGTATCTCAGGGGCTGCCCCAAAGAAGAGGGAGTCAAGCCATTCTCCAAAGCACCTGAAGGCAGGACAAGGAGCAACGGATGGAAACTCATCCAGGAGAGAAGCAACCTAGAACTAAGGAGAAACTTCCTGACAGTTAGAACAATTAACCAGTGGAACAACCTCCCTCCAGAAGCGATGAATGCTCCAACACTGAAGGTTTTAAGAAGAGACTGGACAGCCATTTGTCCGAAATGGTATAGGGTTTTCTGCCTGAGCAGGGGGTTGGACTAGATGACCTCCGAGGTCCCTTCCAACTTTATCATTATTATTATTATTATTATTATTATTATTAATTATTATTATTATTATTATTATTATTATTATTATTATTATTATTATTATTATTACTTCGTTGGGAGGAGGGGGGCTTCCCTCTTATAGCTGCTACTTCAAAAAGTGGGGGGCGGAAGAGAAGGGTTTGGAGGCAAGGAGATGAATCTCTCACGGGAGACAGCCCCCCCTCCCCACTTTGGAGAGATGTTCCCTCTCAGGCCTGTCAAAATGGGGATTAAAATCTTACACAGTTTTCCAGCCAAGCGGTTCTGTTTCAAGCAGTTGGGGGGGGGGGGGAGAGGGAGAAAGGGAGAGGAGAAAAGGGGGAAAGAAGGGGAGGAAAGACGGAAGGGTAAGGGTAAAAATAGAGAAGGAAAGAAGGATAAAGGAAGGAGGGAGGGAGGAATAGAGAAGGAAAGACGGTGGAGGAAAAATAGAGAAGGAAGGATGAGGGAGGGGAGGGAGGGAGGAAAAATGAGGGAGGGAGAGTGGAAGCAAGGAAAAAATAAAGGAGAAAGGAAGGAGAAAGGGAGAAGGAAGGCAGGCAGGCAGGGAAAGGGCAGGAGAAGGAAGAGATGGGAGGGAGGAAACAACAGAGAAGGATAAAGGAAGGAAGCAAAAAATAAAGGAGGGAGGAGTAGAGAAGGGAGGGAAGAGAAAAGAGGAAGAAGAGAAAACATAGAGAAGGAAGGAAGGAGGAGGGAGGGAGGAAAATAAAGGAAGGAGGAAGAGTGGAAGGAAGGAAAAAATGAAGCAAGGAAGAAGCAGGGGAGGGAGAAAGGGGAAAAAACAGAAGGAAAGAAGGGGGAGAGAGGGAGGGAGGGAGGAAAAAATAAAGGAAAGAGGAGGGAGACCCCTCCCCGCCCATGAGACCCCCCCCAGTGAGACGGGGGACCCCGAGGCGGCCTCGCTGCGCCCCCCCTCACCTGGCCACCGCCCGCAGCCGCTCCTTCTGGGCCGGGGGCTCCTCCGCCGCCCCCGCGAAGACCCTGCAGAAGAGGGGCCGGCAGGGATCGGGCGCCTCCCCGGGACGGTCCCGCAGCGGGTGGATCAAGAAGGCGCGGACCATGGTGGGAGCAGGCTGGGAGGGGGGGTGCCCAGCTGTGGGGGGGAGAGAGAGGCTGCCCCCCCGCAAAAGCAGCAGCAGCAGGGTTTCAGGCAGGGGGGGCTGCAGGGGACGCCCCCTCCTCTCTGGGCCCCTCCCGATGGGGGGGGGCACCCAGCAGGCTCCGAAGCCGCCCAGCTGCAAAAACGACCCTCTCGCCGGGAACCCGGAAGCCGAGAAACTACATTTCCCGACGGGCTTCGCACCAGACCGGAAGTGGCGCTAGACCGGCTTTGGAAAGCCGGGGCGCCTCTTTATGATTCGCGCATGCGTTCAATGCCTCCGGCCTCTCCGGGAAGGGGAGGCGGCCGGGCGAGGGGGGGCGGGTCCCATTTCGAGCGGGCGCGAGGAAATCTCCAATCAGCAGGAGAGGAGCGGAGTGGGCGGCGCCCACAAGCGAAGGCAGGGGAACGGCTGGGCGTTCCAAAGGCCGGCCGGAGCGGATTGGTCCGCCTGGCAAAAGGGGGCGTGGCGCGGAGCCCTGTGGACAGCTGGTCTATTTGCCGCCTTTTAGAGCAGCTCTGCAAACTTGGCCGCTTTAAGACTTGTGGACTTCAACTCCCAGAATTCCTCAGCCAGCAAAGCTGGCTGAGGAATTCTGGGAGTTGAAGTCCACAAGTCTTAAAGCGGCCAAGTTTGCAGACCCCCGTTTGAGAGAGTCGTTGAGGCCGCTTGGAGGTTTGTCTGTGTCCTCGTGGGTCACCTGAGTGGTGCAAATGAGCCTTCTTGGAAGGCTGGAAGCTTCCCATTTGCCCCACACAGGTCAACCTCCAAGTGGCCTCAACGACTCTCCAAAAGGAGGCAAATGACCAGCTGTCTGCAAGGAGGATAAATCCTCCCCATTCCCCACCATCCACTCAGAACCTGAAGAAGCTTCTGGGATAAGAAGCGAAACCTCTTCAAAGGAAAACAAGAAAGTCCAGTTGCCTCTTGAAAAAAGCATTTTTGGGGATAACTATGACGGAGAATCCCCAGAGTCGTTTACTCTTCTCCCAGAATCCCCGGCCCTCGACCGAATTCCAATCCTGCCAATGAGCCGGGATGGGGGGGGGAATGGCAGCGGTGGAAGGCGGCTAACCCCCCAATCTTTTTCACTCCCCCTTGTGAAGAAAAGCCAGGCCACAATTCCCAATCCGATCCGTAACCTAGCAATTTATTCAACTTTCCGATTACATCTCACGCGTTGGGCAACTGAGCGAGGAGACACTTTTTACAAGGAAATTCGCTGGGGGGACTGGGGGGGGGGAAAAAGAGAACAATTTAACAAGGGTCGGAACAATTAGCCCCCAGCAACAACAGGCAGTACAACCTCTCCAACGCCCCCCCCCTCCTTAAGCGATGATTTCAAGCCTAGTTGGCCTCTTTTCTACAAACCTGATCCGATTTTGGACACCTGTGTGCTCAAACCATTAAAGCACCAGTCAGATGCGGGGAGGGAATTGCCGTCATGCCCCTGGAGTGGTGTCTTGTGTGTGTGTGTGAAAAATCCAGGTCGTGTGGACATGTGTGTCAAATCCAGGACATGTGTGTCAAATCCAGGACACGTGTGTCAAATCCAGGACATGTGGACAGTGCTAGGTTGAGGGTCTGGAAAAAGCTTTTCCCACGTCAAGCATATAAAGATTGCTGGCTTTCTCCATCGTGCCAAACGCTTTCTCCCACCACGCAACCGTGGCAACTCTCCAGTGGAAGGCCCTTGGAACGTGGCACGGGCGCACGTGCCAGGGGACCCCGCAGCCAGCGGGGCAGGCCTCGGTGCCATCACCTCCAAAAGGAAGATCAGGAACGTGCATCCCACGTTGCGATGCATCGACCTTGCAAGCAACTTTCCATTCTTTCCACAGGTTGCAAAGGGCAACCGTCCTGTGAAGAATTTGGAGTGTGCAAAAGAATGGGGGGGGGGAAGAGATCTAGATGCATCTGGGCCCAGCTGATGCTTTCCAGATGTGCGAGGCAGGGCCCAGGGGTTCTTTGCAGCACATCTGGAAGGTCTGACTTGTTAAAAGCAGATTTATAACTCAACTGCAGGTACCACGGGAGCATGTCTCACAGTGCAAGGCAAATATTTAAGAATTTGGGCTCACCAGAATTATCCCCCTATCCCAAATTCCTCGCCTACTCTTCACGGGACACTTCCCACTCCAAAAGACTGTTTCCCGCCATTTTCTCTGCCTCGTTCTTCCTCCCTCATCGCAAGAGTTTCACGCCTCCAAAACAAAATCCTTTGCATTTTTTCCCCCCTCCTTCTCTTCCTTCCCTTCAACATTGCTGCCATGATTCCAGGCTTACCATAAATTAAACTCAACATTTAAAAGGCGCTGTTTAAACTTGGCACAGGCATACTACAACCTGGGTTGGGGGGGGGGAGAAAAAAACAAAACAAAACAAGAAACGAGAGTGTTGATCTTCATCAGCCAGATTATTAAATAGTGGTTTTCATTTTTTGTCGGTCAACCTTAAGAGTGAGTTTTCCTTTAAAAAACAACAACAAAAAAAAGCCTTATATTCTTCATTATAGGTTAACGGTAGAACCAAGTTCAAATTTGCCTCAACAGATTTTTTTTTAAAAATAAAACACACACAAACACACAAAACGTTGCCATTGAAAAAGGCTTTGAGGATTTAACTTGACAGAAATTTCACCTCCGTTTCTCAAGTTGGGCCAGTTTAAGATGGGAGACTTCAACTCCCAGACTCCCCCAGCCAGCTATGCTGGCTGGGGGATTCTGGGAGTTGAAGTCCGCCGTCTTAAAGTGGCCCAGCTTGAGAAATTACCAATCTAAAGACTCCAAGGCGGGGATGGACACACCAAAATCCCATCCAAAATAAAACTGCCCAGTTTCTCTCTCCCCCTCCCCATTCTACCTCAAATCCCCATCAAACTGACCCCCCTCCCCATCCACACACCTGCAGATCACAGCTTAAAAGAAACCAACCAACCACGCGGCTTCATTAAACCGGAAGATAAGATCCCCCAAACTTTAAAGGAGTTAAATCACTGGCAAGAATTGAGTCCTTCCTGTGCAAATTCCGTTTTTTGTTGTTGTTGTTTTAAGTGTGGCAGCTCCCGTCGGGGGGGGGGGAAGGAAGCTAGCTTTGTGTCCGTGAGGGACCCTACCCGAATCGCGTTTATTTCTTTGCAGAAGTTTTGATTTCTTGTTTGTTCTAGCTTGGCAACAGCAAACAATGGGCGGCTGGCGGTACAAACGGAGCTTGCTTTGACGCCCAAGGTGGCGAACTTTTAACAACTTGGCTAGTTGACCTTGCCCGTTTCCTTAAAGCCAGCTGGAGTCAACGTGGAACTGCGAACAAGATGCAAAGAAAAATAACTGCCCGGCTTGAATCAAAAGCTCAGCCTCGCTTCTCACCTGGCCTGGCCACGAAGCAGATTCCTGCTTCTTCCGACTCCTCTCCAGCGGACGTGAGTTTCTTCCCCGCACAATTTTCCCAGGGCAAACCAAACAGTGTTTAGCCGTGCAACGGAAGAGTTGTTCGCAACCGGGGAAAAGTCACGCAAGCATTTTACAAAGGTCAAAAGGAGGTATTCAAAAAAAAAAATGTCCCCTCCCAAAAAAAAAAGAATTTTCTTTCTGAAACCAACTTTTACACCAATTTTTCCCGCTCCTTTTAAAAAGCCGCTCTGGAATAACATGACGCAAAGGAGGTCAAAAGATCTGGGGTCTGTTTTCATGCAAGCCCACTCCTCGGTCTCCTCAATCTGGAATAAAGCCTGAACAATCCGGGGGTAGGGTCTCCAGAGACCTCTCCTCCGAATGGTAAACTGGGCAGAGGGGGAGGTATTGTGAGCGTGTTGAGTTTGACGGACGGAAGCAAAAGGACCTGAACTATTTTAAGTCAAGGCTGGTTCTTGCTTTGGACTGGAGGAAAGCTTGCTTTCAACTTAAAATGGACAACTTTAAAACGGTGGACAATCTCCAGCATCAAGGTTGGTCCTCCCAGGCCCGTCACGGAGGCCAAAATAAAAATGTGAATAATAAAAATGAGTCCTCAAAGAGAGTGATTTTCAGCCTGGCTCAGCACCAGCGATTGTGGGAAGCGAGGTAACCGATAGTTCCTGTTAATTTTTTAAAACTACTCTGCTCTATTGTTTTCCTGTGGTTAGGTGGGGGGGTCTCCCAGTTTTTCTCTCCCCTCCCATGCCTGCAAAAATCCCAAGACATCCCCTTTCCGCATGCAAGCTAAAACAGCTTCTCCCCATGGGTGAACCCCGATGAAAAGAGTTTTGCTGCCATACTAAGTAAGTACTTCGTGAGACAGTGTAGAATCTCCTTCCGTTTCAAGCAATCTGTACGGTCACAGTGGTTACGCAACACACACCACTCCAGAGACATGTGGGGAACACTGCAAACCCGTTCCCACCTTCGTCTTGCCTCGCTTGCCCTCGCCAGGAAGACGGGCGGGAAACCAACGGGGCACGCTCACGTCCACTCACCGCCACCATGCGGCGCCTGAGCAACCGCACCCCACCCGCAACACACACTTTTGTGTCGCCAGGAAAGACGCTCCCCGCGGCTGTGTCCTTTGTTCTTCCTAAAAGGCACCCGAAGCGAGAAGCTTATTGGATTTAAGAAAAAGTTCTGCTCGGCTTTGCCACCAACAAAAACTGCAGAGCATTGTTCAAACGCCTTTGTTGGCGTGCCCGACGGAGCAGATCGACAACGTTGCAAAGAGTTTGTATCCTGCTCTTCGCAAAAACTGGAGCGTGCCGGAATAGAACAGGGCAGTTTCGGAAGGAGAATTCGTATTTCTTTCGCCTTGCAGATGTCTGTCCTGGATAGGTACAGGGCGGGAGACGCTCTGCCGGGGATACACGCCGAAGATGCCCCATCCAGCCTTCCTGCCCCCCCCCGAATGCAAACAACCCCCCCACCCTACCCCCGGTGCTTCGTCCGCCCCTCAGCAGTTCTGCAGACGATTGTAGAGTTCTCGCTTGCTCTTCTCTCCGGCCCAGGTGCGGCTTTTCAGACGAAAAGTGCGCAGGTCCTCCTTGAAATCCTTGTGGTGCATCGGGCGGTAGTTCTGCGGGTCGCAGTGACTCTGGGGGGGGAGGAGGAGGAGGAGGAGGAGGAGGAGGAAGATGAGAGCAAAAGATCAGCCCCTCCTCAACATAGCAATAGCGCTTCGACTTATATACTGCTTCACCATGCTTTTAAAATCCTCTCTAAAGCGGAGTCAGCATATTTGCCCCCAACAATCTGGGTCCTTATTTTACTGATCTTGGAAGGACGGAAGGCTGAGTCGACCTTGAGACGGTCGGGATCGAACTCCCGGCAGTGGGCAGAGTCAGCTTGCAATGCTGCATTCTCACCACTGTGCCCACCAACAAACTCGGAGTGCTTGGGTATGGTTAGGAGGCACTGATTTTTCTAGCCTGCCCTATCTATCTTTCCTGGTAAAATACATGGGAAAATCCCATTGGAGGAAAATTCCAGTTAGGGTTAGGGTTAGGTCACCATGAACTTGGAGAGCAAAATGGACATCGCCAACAAATTCGGAGTACTTGGGTATGGTTAGGGGGGCACTGACTTTTCTAGCCTGCCCTATGTTTCCTGGTAAAATACATGGGAAAATCCCATTGGAGGAATAGTCCCATTTCAGAAAAATGGCTGTCCAGTCTCTTCTTAAAAACGTCCACTGTTGGAGCATTCACAGCTTCTGGAGGCAGGTTGTTCCACTGGTTAATTGTTCTAACTGTCAGGAGGTTTCTCCTTAATTCCAAGTTGCTTCTCTCTTTAGTTAGTTTTCATCCGTTGCTTCTCGTCCTGCCTTCAGGGGCTTTGGAGAATAGCTTGACTCCCTCTTCTTTGGGGCAGCCCCTGAGATACTGGAAGACTGCTATCCTGTCCCCCCTCATCCTTCTCTTCATTAGACTAGACCAGGGGTAGGCAACCTTGGCTCTTTTATGACTCGTGGACTTCAACTCCCAGAATTCCTGAGCCAGCCATGGGAGTTGAAGTCCACGAGTCATAAAAGAGCCAAGGTTGCCTAGCCCTGGACTAGACATACCCAATTCCAGCCACCGTTCCTTATATTTTTTAGCCTCCAGCCCCCTAATCCTCTCTGCTGCTCTTCTCTGCACTCTTTCTAGAGTCTCAACCTCTTTTTTACATCGTGGTGACCAAAACTGGATGCCGGATTCCAAGCGTGGCCGCCTTACCAATGTTGCGGTAATCTTACTTACGTTGTGATCATCTCAATGTAGTTTTTTTTAAATAAAAATAAATAAATAAAAGCTCACTGTCAACGTAATTTTTCTCACTGTGCAGCGTTGACACTCACCTGATATTGGGGGAAAAATTCTTTGTAACCCCCTTTCAAGACGTAGAGCTCCGGGTAGTGGAGAGACGGATATGTATTGTAAGCACGGTCTTTCTCCCGAACGAAACGGCACCTTTGGGAACGAGAGAGGCAAGGATGAACGGCCGCCACGAAGCACAACGTCACACCAGACACCCCCCCCCCCCACAGCCTTGCCCTTTATTTCCCTGCAGGAGCCGGGGAAAGTTGGCTGGATAAAGGCGGTCCTCGACTTATGACAGTTCGTTTAGCGACCGTTCGAAGTTACGACAGGGCTGAAAAACGGGACTTGTCCCCGTTTTTTCCCACTTGCGAGTCCCTCGTAGCCTCGTGATTTACATTCAGGCGCCTGGCAACCGACTCACATTTACAACGGCCGCAGCGGCCCCCGGGGATCACGCGATCCCCTTTTGCGACCTTCTGACAAGCGAGGACAATGGGGGGGAAGCCAGATTCACTTAACGACCGTGTCGCTAACTTTAAAACTGCAGTGATTCACTTAACGAGGGTGGCAAGCAAGGTCGTAAAATGGGGCAAAATTCACTTGACCGACGTCCCGCTTGATAACATGGGCTCAGTTGTGGTCGTAAGCCAAGGACTGCCTTGTACAGGTAGTCCTCAACTTACGACGGTTTGTTTAGTGACCCTTCAAAGTGGGAAAAGGGACTGAGGACTGTTTTTCACACTTAACGACCGTTGCAGCAACCCCCCCCATGGCCACGTGTTCAAAATCCGGCCGCTTGGCAACTGGTTCCATATTTACGACGGTCGCAGCGTCCCCCGGGGGGGTCACATCCCCTTTTGTGACCTAACGAGCAAAGTCAACGGGAGAAGCCGATTCGCTTAACGACCGTGTTGCTAACTTAACAACTGCAGGGACTTGCTTAACAACAGGGGCAAACAAGGTTGTAAAACGGGGCCCAAACTCAACAACGAGCAATGGAAATTTGGGACTCGACGGTGGTCGTTAAGTCGAGGAGAGCGCCTGTAGAGTCAAAAGAGTCAAGATGGCGGCCAGGATAGTGCAATCCAAGCTCAGTTAAATTTTAATGGGTGACGACAGAGCTTGTGGGCCTTTGAGCATTGGGGTGCAAGGGGGCGACAGCCGGGTCCCCCCAAAAAGGGTGGGCAGGAGGGGAGACTTACATCCGGGGTCCTCTTTCCGACGAGAACTCGCAGTGGAAAACCACGATGACCCGCTTGGCAGCATCCGAGGGGACGATGGGCCTCTTGAGAAGGAAGTCTTCCACGTCCTTCTCCAGGGGGAGGTTCACAGCCCCCTGGAAAACCAAGCAGAAAAAGGGGTTCATCGTTTCAAAGCTGCTCCCCAAACATTTAGACCAGGGGTGGGGGAACGATGGGGATTTTTATGACTCATGGACTTCAACTCCCAGAATTCTTGGAGCCAGCCATGCAGTTATGACTCGTGGACTTCAACTCCCACAATTCCTGAGCCAGCCATGCAGTTACAACTCGTGGACTTCAACTCCCAGAATTCTTTGAGACAGCCATGTAGGTATGACATGTGGACTTCAACTCCCAGAATTCTTTGAGACAGCCATGCAGGTATGACATGTGGACTTCAACTCCCAGAATTCTTTGAGACAGCCATGCAGTTAAGACTCTGGACTTCAACTCCCAGAATTCTTGGAGCCAGCCATGCAGTTAAGACTCTGGACTTCAACTCCCAGAATCCTTTGAGCCAGTCATGCAGTTAAGACTCTGGACTTCAACTCCCACAATTCTTTGAGCCAGCCATGCAGGTATGACATGTGGACTTCAACTCCCAGAATTCTTTGAGACAGCCATGCAGTTACGACTCGTGGACTTCAACTCCCAGAATTCTTTGAGACAGCCATGCAGTTACGACTCGGGGACTTCAACTTCCAGAATTCTTTGAGACAGCCATGCAGTTATGATTTGTGGACTTCAACTCCCAGAATTCTTGGAGCCAGCCATGCAGTTATGACTTGTGGACCAGGTGCCACCCACCCAGGTTACCATCTTCCCCTCCGCCTCATCCAGGCCAACCTGCTGATTCGCGCCAAGAAGCCGGAGCCGGAGAACTAACCTTGATGTGGCCGCCTTCGTATTCATAGGGGTATCGACAGTCCACGATCACACAGTTTTCAATGAGGCTGTTGAACTGGCCGTTCAGGACCGCCACCATCTGCGGGCAAAGACAGGGTTAAAAAGAAGCCCACAACTCCACAGATGTGTCTGGCAAAACTTGTTGACTGGGGGATTCTGGGAGCTGAAGTCCACCTATCCTAAAGCAAGCTGGCTGGGGGATTCTGGGAGCTGAAATCCATCCATCTTAAAGCAAGCTGACTGGGGGATTCTGGGAGTTCACCCTTTTTAAACCAAGCTGACAGGATTCTGAGAATTGAAGTCCGCCCATCTTAAAGCATGCTGGCTGAGGGATTCTGGGAGCTGAAGTCCACCCATCTTAAAGGACGCTGGCTGGGGATTCTGGGAATTGAAGTCCACCCATCTTAAAGCATGCTGGGAGAGGGATTCTGGGAGTTGAAGTCCACCCATCTTAAAGGATGCTGGCTGGGGGATTCTGGGAGTTGAAGTCCACCCTTCTTAAATCATGCTGGTTGGGGGATTCTGGGAGCTGAAGTCCACCCGTCTTAAAGGACGCTGGCTAGGGATTCTGGGAATTGAAGTCCACCCATCTTAAAGCAAGCTGGCTGGGGGATTCTGGGAGTTGAAGTCCACCCTTCTTACATCATGCTGGTTGGGGGATTCTGGGAGCTGAAGTCCACCCGTCTTAAAGCACGCTGGCTGAGGGATTCTGGGAACTGACCTTCAATTGCCCGAATTCCCCAGCTGGCATGCTTTAAGATGGATGTTCTCGAGAAGAACAGACCGTGATGGTTCTTCCTTACCATTTCTGGAGAAATGTACTTGAGATCTTGGTGTTTCCCTTCCACGGTCTGGAGAACGAAAGCCTAAAGAGAGGGGAGGGGAGGGGGCCGTCAACGGCCATGCCTACCGTGAGCCCACAGAGACCTCCCACCCGATCCATCCCTTGCCCCAGCGAGAAGAAGTCAAGAGGGACCTCCTTCTCGTCTTCTCAGCCAATACCTTGGAGAAGTCGCCAATCAGCTCGCGCTGGTCCTGGTCCAAGATGTTGCCAATCTCCAAGGGACAGCAGGAACGGGAGCGGAACAGCCGAGGCACCTAGAAGAACGGGACATTGGAGGAGATGAGACCATGATGTCAACGCTGCTAACATTGGATGTTTTTGCTTTGACAACAGTAGAAATGCACTATTTTCTTCTTATGTTTTAGTCTTAGAGTTAGATGATGCTGGGGGGAGAGGAATATGCATGTGAGTTTGGAGATAGACCTAATAATATTGGACTTGGTGTGAGAACCAAGGTTAATGAAACAAGAGATGATAAGAATTGGCGGGCTGGAGAACTGGAGGGAAAGCCTGCATTTCAAGCTAATTGGGGAATGTGATTTATGACTGTTAATTGGAGGAGGGCATTGTGCTTTGATACTAGGTGCTCGGGAGAGGGGAACTCAGATTTTGGCTTGGACTAGGCGACGCTATGCTTCGCAAATAAAGAATCTTTAAGGTAAACAATGCCTCGAAGTTCTTTGAAAAGTTTCACCTGTCGGAATTATGACATTAAGCCCAAAACTGGATTCCCCATGACCCATTGCTTCTCACCTACCACCACACTTTGGGAGACCAAAAGGGTTTAATAATAATAATAATAATAATAATAATAATAATAATAATAATAATAATAATAATAAAAGTTGGAAGGGACCTTGGAGGTCATCAAGTCCAACCCCCTGCTCAGGCAGGTAACCCTATACCATTTCGGACAAATGGCTGTCCAGTCTCTTCTTAAAGACTTCCAGGGTTGGAGCATTCACCGCTTCTGGAGGCAGGTTGTTCCACTGGTTAATTGTTCTAACTGTCAAGAAGTTTCTCCTTAGTTCCAGGTTGCTTCTCTCCTTGATGAGTTTCCATCCGTTGCTTCTTGTCCTGCCTTCAGGCACTTTGGAGAATAGCTTGACTCCCTCTTCTTTTGTGGCAGCCCCTGGGATACTGCAACCCTGCTATCCTGTCCCCCCTCGTCCTTCTCTTCATTAAACTAGACATACCCAGTTCCATCAACCGTTCCTTATATGCTTTAGCCTCCAGTCCCCTGATCATCTTTGTTGCTCTTCTCTGCACTCTTTCTAGAGTCTCAACATCTTTTTTACATCGTGGTGACCAAAACTGGTTCTTGGGACCTTGCCTGCCAGAAAGTAGCCTGACCCCAGGGCCAGGGGGGACCCCTGTTGTACAGCTGTCCCTGGAGACCCTCAAGCATCCTCTTCCCTGGTCTATTACGGGTGGCCCACCCACATGCTGGAGACGACCGGAAAAAGGGGGTCCTCCTAAACATCATTCAACCGATCAACTAAACCCAGATGCAAAGGATTTGCAGAGCTTGAGCAAGACCCTCCCGGAGACAGAATTGGGGTCCTTCCCTCCTGGAAGACCCCTGCCCCAAACCCACAGCTGCAAAGAGGCCAATTTGCCCCCTCCCCCCCAAAAAAAACCATCTGGGAAAGGAGGGGGGAGGTCTTAGCACCCCTGCAGGGAATCCCAAGGAGGCAGCTGCAGATGCTGCTCTTGTGGGGTTCAGGTCCAGGTACAAAGGAGCCCCCCACCCCCACCCCAGCCCAGCCTCACCGGCTCCTCCGGCTTCTCCACAATGGCGCTGCCGGTGAGGCTCTTCCGCCGCTTGGTCTTCACGGGGCTGTCTTTCTCCTGGGCCCGGTCCAGCCGCTTCAGGATGGGCCGGATGACGGTGCTGGGCATGGAGGGGGAGCGGAAGAGGCGCTGGCACCGGGAGCTCCTGGACACCACCTGCACAGAGTTGGGGGGCAGGGAGGAGAGATGAGGCGGGAGCGCTCCAGCAGGTGATGGAGAAGGAAGAAGGGGAGGGGAAGGGAGGGGGGAGGAAGAGGAGAAGGAGGAGAAGCATGAGGAACAGAAAGTTGAGGAATGGAATGGAATAGAATAGAATAATAGAATAGAATAGAATAGAATAGAATAGAATAGAATAAGGAATAGGAATCGAAGAATAGAACAAAACAGAACAGAATAGAATAGGAAATAGGAATGGAAGAGTAGAGTATAGAGTAGAGTAGAGTAGAATATAGAATAGAAAATAGAATAGAATAGAATAGAATAGAATAGAATAGAATAGAATATAGAATAGAATAGAATAGAATAGAAATATAGAATAGAATAGAATAGAATAGAATATAGAATATAGAATAGAATAGAATATAGAATAGAATAGAATAGAATAGAATAGAATAGAATAGAAATATAGAATAGAATAGAATAGAATAGAATAGAATAGAATAGAATAAGGAATAGGAATCGAAGAATAGAACAGAACAGAACAGAATAGAATAGGAAATAGGAATGGAAGAGTAGAGTATAGAGTAGAGTAGAATATAGAATAGAAAATAGAATAGAATAGAATAGAATAGAATATAGAATAGTATAGAATATAGAATATAGAATAGAATAGAATAAGGAATAGGAATAGGAATCGAAGAATAGAACAGAACAGAATAGAATAAGAAATAGGAATATAGAGTAGAGTAGAGTAGAGTAGAGTAGAGTAGAGTAGAGTAGAGTAGAGTAGAGTAGAGTAGAGTAGAGTAGAGTAAACAGAGTTGGAAGGGACCTTGGAGGTCTTCTAGTCCAGCCCTCTGCTCAGGCTCAGAAGGGTGACACCAGCCTTAGCCCCCAAAGCAGAACCGCTGACATTCGGTTTCCAGCCTCCCTTCTCCCCGTAGGCCAGCAGGGCAGCGAGGAATGCTGACACCCTCCCACCCCCACATCGCAGGACCCACCTGCTCAATTTGGCATTGGAAAACTGTCGCCCCCCCACACACACCCTCCTTCCACGAGGGCAAAGGGCTCTACGTACCGGGGCGGGTTCGACGTTCGCCTTCACCAGCGGTGCCGTCAGCAGGTTCTCCATGCCTGAAGGAATGTCGCCGTCCACCTGGAAGAGGAAGCAGGGCGGAGTGGTCAGGCCAGCAGGCAGAGGACGCTGGGACAGGCCTGGCCGCCGAGGGCGACCCCGTCTCTTCGTTCCCACGTTTCCTCCTGGCTGCCACGGGCAAGGAGGCCCTATCCTTTCCCAGAGGTTATCCAGCACATTCTAAACACAGGTAGTCCTCGGCTTACGACCGTTTCCTTAGTGACCGTTCCAAGTTACAACGGCACTGGAAAAAAAGGGGGGGCTTACGGCCGTTTTTTTCCCGCACCGAGAACCGTCGCAGCATCCCCACGGTCCTGTGATCAGGATTCGAACGCTTGGCAACCGACTTAATGACCGCTGCAGCGTCGTGCGATCTACCTTCTGACAAGCCAAGCCAGTGGGGGGGGGAGGTTCGCTCACTTAGCCACCACCTCACTTAGTGACGGAAGTTCCAGTCCCAAATTGTGGCTGCAAGGCAAATACTTCCTGGTATATTTCAAGAGTTGGCCGAGGTCCGCCCCAGGCCACCCCACCTGCGGTCCGCCACCTCTTCGGCCTTCCGAGCAGAAGCTTTACCTTCAGCTCCTCTTCGTCGAGGACTTCCAGAAAGCCGTCATCATCATCGTCGTTCATGAAGGACGTCAAGGAGGATCGGCGCAGGTAGACCGGGCTCTCCGGATTGACGTTCTCCTTCTGGGGGCTGCAGAACTGAAGAGAAAGGAGCCGTAAGCACGGCAGCCTGAGCGTCTGCTGGCAGTTTCCGAGGCAGTCACGTTGTCCCAAGAGTGACTCGGCTGGCGTTTCCCAACCGGGTGCCCACCCTCTCCCGTTGGCCAAGCGATTCAGCTAGGAGCTGCAGCCAAACCATGTTTGAGGGAGTCTCAAAGGTTGCTTTTTCCACCAAAGGCAACGGGACTTCCTTGGTTTTTGCTCGGAAGACCTTTCGCCTCTCCTCCCAGAAGCTTCTTCAGTCAGAACTGAGGAAGCTTCTGGGATGGGAAGCGAAAGCTCTTCAAGAAAAACCAAGGAAGTCAGTCGCCTTCGGAAAAATGACCTTTGGGACCACCGTGACCTGGACGACCGAGAACCTCCGTAGAGGTTCAAGGAGGGTTGGGCCACGCTCCCTTGAGAATAGCCCCCTCCTGACCACCACCCCCTCCAGCCAGTCTGTTTCCTTTAGGGTAGATCTAGAAGGGTTGGTGTGTTTGGGGACCCTGTCACCCCTGCAATAAATATATCCTGGGAGAGGACCCAGGAAGCGTTGTCTTCTCTGAGGCTGCCCCCACCCTTTGGAACAGCACCCCCTGTGAAATCTGGAGACCCCCCACTCACCCAACCCTGCCGGCTTTGCCTGCCTGCCTGCCTTCCACAACATGTGAGGCTTTGAATAGCTTGCCTCCAGAAGTTGTGGGTGCTCCATCACTGGAGGCTTTTAAGAAGAGACTGGACAAGCATTTGTCAGAAATGGTCTAGGGCAGTGATGGCGAACCTTTTAGAGACCGAGTGCCCAAACCGCAACCCCAAACCCACTTATTTATCGCAAAGTGCCAGGGCCGCATCAGCATTGTGGTGCCCTCGGGGGGGCATGGCCCACTGGGTGGGCATGGCTCCGGTTGTCACGGCATATTGGGTGGGCGTGGCTGGGGTGGGCATGGCCACCTCGATGTTGCTCATGGGGGGGATGCCTGTGGGGGCTGGACAGGGTTGGGAGAGATCGAGGGGATCTGTGGCGGGTGGGGCGGTGGGCAGGAGGCCCAGCATGGATGGGGGAGGCACGCAATCCTAGCTGGGACTGGGGGGCCATGGCGCTGATGGGGATCTGGCTTTCCCTGCTCGGGGTGGCCTTTGGGTTGCTGGGTGTGGGCGTGCTCTATCACCTCTACTCGAGCTTGTTAGCTGGACGCTTTGCCTCCTTTGTGCTGGGTGGGGCTGCCGCTCTGGGCGGCGGCGGCCTAATGGACCTGCACAAGTTGCTGGCGGCGGCAGCGCACGTGCCCACAGAGAGGGCTCTGAGTGCCGCTTCTGGCACACGTGCCATAGGTTCGCCACCACTGGTATAGGGTTTCCTGCTAGAGCAAGGGGTTGGACTAGAAGACCTCCAAGGTCCCTTCCAACGCTGTTATTCTGCTATTGTCTTCCCAAGGACCGAGAATCAGATGACCCGCTGAATTATTCTCGGGCACCACTCAGAATCACTGAATTGGCCCTTTTGGATTGCATTTGCTTTATTATTTCTTTTTTTTCCCAAAATGATGATTTGCCCTTGATAAAATACACTGTCCTGGGCGCTGTGCTGGGCAGGACAGCTATATAAATCGATCCCATCAATAAAAGGAAAATAAAAGCAGAATTGCCGCACGCTCACACACACATACAACCGTGCCTGCACCCCAAACCCACTTCCTCTTTGACAGCCATCACTCACCATCAGCTGCGGGGCAGAGTTGGGTCTTTGGGCGAAGGGAGCCCTGTCCCCCTGGCCCCCGGTGAGTCGGCTCGTAGGCCGGGAGGGCTTCTTAAAAACAGCCCCGTCCTGTCGGAAAGAGAAAAAGCTAAGCAATTTTAGGAAGCCAAGAAATGGAGGGGAGGGGAGACGGAGGGAGGGAGGGAGGGAGGGGAGAGAGGAAGGAAGGAAGGAAGGAAGGAAGGNAGGGTAGAGAGGAAGGAAGGAAGGAAGGAAGGAAGGAAGGAAGGAAGGAAGGAAGGAAGGAAGGAAGGAAGGAAGGAAGGAAGGAAGGAAGGAAGGAAGGAGAAGGGAAGGGAAAGGAAAGGAAAGGAGGAGAAAGAGAAGGAGCAGGGAAGGAGAAGGGAAAGGAAAGGAAAGGAGGAGAAAGAGAAGGAGCAGGGAAGGAGAAGGGAAAGGAAAGGAAAGGAAAGGAGGAGAAAGGGCAGGGGAGGGGCAGGGACCAGGGCCAGGGCCCTTCACTTACATGTTCCGTGGTGCTTTGGGGGGCAGCCGGGGGGTTCTGCCCGGGGCCGTTGCACTGCTTGCAATGCGAAATGTTCCTGAGGACGGGGCTGGAGCCCAGGAGCCTCACCTGGGGAGAGAGCAGGAGGTGAGGGAGGCAGAGGCAGAAGAGGAGGAGGAGCAGGAGGAGTTCTGCCCTGGGGTCCAGGGCTGGCCCCGGTGCCCAAAAGGCCCCCAGACCAGCCACGTTGTGCCCCAGTTTCTTTTTTCCTCCGCCAGCCGAGCAGGGCGGCCTTCCGAGAGGGCCAGAAACTCTCCCAGGCCAGGGCCTGCTCGGGGGACTCGCTTCTCCAGGCAGGGAGATTTGTAGGCCAGGTAGTCCTCAGCTTACCACGCTTCGTTTAGCGACCATTCAAAGTTACAACGGGCACTGAAAAGAGGGACAGGGCCGTTTTTCAGTTACAACCTTTGCCGCATCCCCGGGGTCACCTACGATCCACACTCAGGTGCTCGGTCGTTAGTGGTTCACACTTACGACGGTCGCAGCGTCCCAGGGGGGGTCACATCATCCTCTTTTGCGACCTTCCAACAAGCAAAGTCAATGGGGGAAGCCGGATTCACTTAACGACCGTGTGACTCACTTAACACCCGCAGCGATTCGCTTAACGACCGTGGCAAGGAGGGTCGTAAAATGGGGGCAAACTTCACTGAACACACGTCCCACTTAGCAACATAAACTTGGGGCTGAAGAATGGTCGTAAGCCGAGGACTGCCCGGACAAAATTTCCCGCCACCAAGAAAACAGGGGCCGCTGCAAGCTCCCCCTGGCGGACAATTCGGCAGCCCTGTTTTCCTCCCGTGAACCCGAACTCAGGGCCCCCATCAGCTTCCCAAGGACGCAGAGATCCAGCAGACGTCACAAAGACGTCGAAGGCGTGTGGACAGCATCAGGCAAGATGGCGTCCCCTGTCCGGACGCTCCCAGCCACAGGGTAAAGCAGTGACCCCCAATCTTTGGGGGCACCGGGAACCGGTTCCGTGGCCTGCATCCCACGGATGGGGCTTCGTTGGTCTGCGTGGACCGGTTTTTGGCCTGCCGTGGACAGGACCCTCGGGGTGAAGGATCAAGCCTCGCGTGGAGGCCTCGGCCCCCGTGTACCCCCGATTTCGAACTAGCCCGGAGACCGGCGTCTCCCCAGCCCCCCAATGGCGGCCCAAGCCCAGCTAGATTGACTCAAGTTTCCCCTGCAAAGCCCCCCACCCGAAGCCCACCCGGGGGGTCCCACCCGGAGGGCTCGACCAAGGAGAAGCAGTTTTTACCGGTAAGGACTTGATTCTCCGAAGGGGAAGCGATTCCCTGTGGAGGAAAGGAAGATAAGAATTAGGATTTATGATGATCGCCTGACTCCAGCAGAACCCAGAAGGACCCCCACACCCCAAGGGTCATTCTGCAAGGGCCACGGGATGGTGGCTTGCTTCCCAGGTGGGTCAAGACTTGGAAGACCCCCCTCCCACAAGGCTGCCAAGCTTCTAACGATGCCCCCACCCCTCCAATAGATCAAAGAAAGCCTGCTGGAAAGAAGACCCTCTGTCCCTCGCGGGCAAAACAGTTATGGTGGAAGGATATATAGGGGTCTCCTGCTTGAGCAGGGGGCTGGGCTGGACTGGAACAGGGGTCCCAACCTGTGGGCCGCAGAATTCCCCAGCCAAATATATAGGATTTAACCTCCCAGAATTCCCCAGCCAAACATTAGGATTTAAACTCCCAGAATTCCTCAGCCAAATATGTAGGGTTTAACTCCCAGAATTCCCTAGCCAAATATGTAGGATTTAAACTCCCAGAATTCCCCAGCCAAACATTAGGATTTAAACTCCCAGAATTCCTCAGCCAAATATGTAGGGTTTAAACTCCCAGAATTCCCCAGCCAAATATGTAGGATTTAACTCCCAGAATTCCTCAGTCGAACACATAGGATTTAAACTCCCAGAATTCCCCAGCCAAATATGTAGGATTTAACTCCCAGAATTCCCCAGCCAAACATGTAGGATTTAACTCCCAGAATTCCTCAGTCGAACACATAGGATTTAAACTCCCAGAATTCCCCAGCCAAATATGTAGGATTTAAACTCCCAGAATTCCCCAGCCAAATATGTAGGATTTAACTCCCAGAATTCCCCAGCCAAACATGTAGGATTTAACTCCCAGAATTCCTCAGTCGAACACATAGGATTTAAACTCCCAGAATTCCCCAGCCAAATATGTAGGATTTAACTCCCAGAATTCCCCAGCCAAACATGTAGGATTTAACTCCCAGAATTCCTCAGTCGAACACATAGGATTTAAACTCCCAGAATTCCCCAAACATGTAGGATTTAAACTCCCAGAATTCCCCAGCCAAACATTAGGATTTAAACTCCCAGAATTCCTCAGCCAAATATGTAGGATTTAACTCCCAGAATTCCTCAGCCGAATACATAGGATTTAAACTCCCAGAATTCCCCAAACACGTAGGATTTAAACTCCCAGAATTCCCCAGCCAGATTTAAACTCCCAGAATTCCCCAGCCAAACATGTAGGATTTAAAAATATACAGGTAGTCCTCGGCCACAACTGAGCCCCAACATTTCTGTGGCTAAGTGAGACAGTGGTTAAGTGGGGTTTTTTTGGCCCTGTTTTACAACCTCCCTTGACACCGTTGTTAAGTGAATCCCTGCAGTTGTTAAGTTAGTCACACAGTTGTTAAGTGAATCCGGTTTCCCCACTGGCTTTGCTCCTCAGGAGATCACAAATGATTTGGAACCGTCTTAAACGTGAATCGATTACCGAGGGTCTTGAATTCTGATCCGGTGACCATGGGGGAGGCTGCAACGGTCGTTATAAGTGTAAAAGACGGTCCTAAGCCACCCTTTACAGTCCCGTTGTAACTCCGAACGGTCACTAAATGAATGCTTGTAGGTTGAGGACTACCTGCGGCGGCATCGCCACGGATGCATTCCCAAATTCAGGACCGTGACAACCCGAGTGCCCCCTCCCCTTTAGACCCTCCCTCCCCCTTTTCAAAGGTCACCAGCATCGTCCTCACATCTTTCCAACTTTCCCTGTCTCCCCCCCCCTCCCTTCCTTTCCAACCTCAGCAGCTCTTGTTGCAGAAGAGGGTCCGACTCCGGGCCCCATGCTCCACAGGGCCCCCTTTCTCCTCCTGACTGCATTCCTTGCCTCTCTCCCGGAGGGTGGGTCTAGCGGGCCTTTAGGTGCCCAGGCGATGCCAACCCCAGCTTCTCGCAGCGGTCTCTACGGAGAACAAAGCAGCTCCAGCCGATTGCTGAAATATCGGGGGATCGTCCGGGATGTCGGTCCAGCAGACGGCTTTGCTGTTTGTGTGGGGTCTTTCTTCACCCCCTGACCCCTTCGCGGTCTCCCAGGCTGGGCCTCCGTGTGCCCCCACCCTCAAGAGGCCTCCTTTCCTCCTCCATTCAGAGCCTGCAGTGCAGGAGAATGGGGAGGGGGCTTCTGCTCCCAACCCCCCCCCCCCCACCAGCATGCTTGGCTGGGCCAATTCAATTCCAAAGACTTGACAACAAAAGAAGGAGTTCAAAGGGGTCTTTTCTGGGTCTTCCATAACCGTTGCCCCCACCTGCATGCAAATTAGGAGGTGGGGAGGGAGCCCAGAGGGGCACCATCTGTCAGATACAAGCCCCAGGCACACACCCCCAACTATTCTCACACACACACACACATACCAAGAAGAGGGAGGGAGTGTGTGCACAAAACCCTCCACAACCCTCCACACTTTCCCTCTGCAGTCCCCATCCTTCCCCCCCCCGGGCCTCAACCCCCCCTCTTAGTTCCCCAACACAGGTAGTCCTCGATTTACGACAGTTCATTTAGTGACCGCTCAAAATTACAACGGCACTGAAAAGAGTGACTTGTAACCATTCTTCACACTTATCGCAATACAGGTAGACCACAACTGACTCCCCAAATTTATGTCGCTAAGGGAAACACGGTTGTTAAGCAAATCGGGCTCCCCCACTGACTTTAATAATAATAATAATAATAATAATAATAATAATAATAATAATAATAATAATAATAATAATAATAAATAATAATAATAATAATAATAATAATAATAATAATAATAAATTATTATTATTATTATTATTATTATTATTATTATTATTTCAACCTTCCCTGGAACCTCCAGTAGATCAGGTTGGGGGACGAGTCCGTCTTTTGGGATATGGTAAAGCCTGTTTACCGACAGGTCAGAGAAGAATTTTTGAAGGTCACAACCTCGTAAGTGGCGAAGACCTCGCAGGTTGTTCCACTGGTTAATTGTTCTCACTGTCAGGAAGTTTCTCCTTAGTTCTAGGTTGCTTCTCTCCTTGCTTAGTTTCCATCCGTTGCTTCTTGTCCTGCCTTCAGGTGCCTTGGAAAATAGCTTGACTCCCTCTTCTTTGGGGCAGCCCCTGAGACTGCTATCATGTCCCCCCTCGTCCTTCTCTTCATTAAACTAGACACACCCAATTCCAGCAACCGTTCCTTATATGCTTTAGCCTCCAGTCCCCTGATCATCTTTGTTGCTCGCCAGTCAGGAGGTCGCCAAAGGGGATCACTTGATCCCAGGCCACTGCGACCGTCATAAATATGAGCCATCTGAATTTTGATCATGTGACCACGGGGACGCTGCCACGGTCGTAAGTGTGAAAACAGCTATCAATCACTTTTTTCAGTGCCGTCGTAACTTCGAACGGTCACTAAATGAACTGTCGTAAAGTCGAGGACGGTCTGTAATTACAGCATCTCTGGCTCCTGGGATTGTCATTGGCCACCTCCCTAGGGAACTTCTCACAATCAAAAGTCACTGGGGGGGGTGGGGGGGAAGCCAGATTCATTTAACGACCGCCTGTTTCACTTAGTGAATCGCTTTTGGGCAAAAAAATAAAAATAAAATAATTGCCAAAAATTTAACCAGGCCCGTTTTATGAAGCCCAACTCAACCCACCGACTTGCTTAGTAACGGAAAACTTGGACTCAACTCTGGTCGTTAAGATTTGCCCTGAGCATTTGGTGGACGGCCTAGCATCTATATCAGGGGTCCTCAACCTTGGCCACTTTAAGACTTGTGGACTTCAACTCCCAGAATTCTGGGAGTTGAAGTCCACAAGTCTTAAAGCGGCCAAGTTTGCAGAGCTGCTTTAAAAGGCGGCTGAGGAATTCTGGGAGTTGAAGTCCACAAGTCTTAAAGTGGCCAAGGTTGAGGACCCCACTGGCTGAGGAATTCTGGGAGTTGAAGTCCACAAGTCTTAAAAGACCCCTGATCTAAATGCTCTAAATGCTCCCCCGGTTCTTGCAGGGACGCAATCAAAAGCTCTCCGATGACTCAAACTTCTTGGAAACGGGTTGCGCAAAGGGAAGATCTGGATTTAAGCACCCAAATCCCCTCACAGCTGACAACAAGCCAGCCTTAAACCAGGGGCAATAAAGAGATTAAGATCGCACATCCGAAACCGGGCAAAAGAAAACAATCAAATCCCCACGTTTGGCTTCTCTTTTTTCCTCTTCTTGGGCCGACAGGCAGATCCAAACCTTTTTTTGGTTTTTGGGGATTTAATCCTCTGGAATGAGCAGTTTAAAAACCACAGGTAGGCCTCGCTTTATGCCCAAAATCGAGGGGGGGGGGGGAAAAGCGACTTACGACCGTTTTTCACACTTAACGACCATTGCAGCGTCCCCACAGGGTCACGTGATCAAAATTCAGCCGCTTGGCGACTGACTCGTATTTACGACGGTTGCCGTGTCCCGGGTTCGTGTGATCCCCTTTGGCGACCTGACAGGCAAAGTCCAGGGGGGAAGCCAGATTCAACTTAACTATTGTGTTACTAACTTCACAACTGCAATGATTCACTTAACAACTGTGGCAAAGAACGGTCATAAAACGGGGCAAAACTCACCTAACAAATGTCCCACTTAGCCACATAAAAATTTTTGGTCGTAAGTCAAGGACTATCCGTATTGTGCAGTCGCAGGATGTAATTTACATTATTTTTTTTTGCTGGAAACTGGCCTTTTTGATTAGCTTCCGGCAAAAAAAAAAAAAAAAGTCCTTGGGAATCTACTGACTCGCTTAATGACTGCCATGTTCGCTGTATGACTGCAGCATTTGCTCAACAGCTGGTGTAAAAAAAGGCTGCAAGATTGAGTTGCTCAGGTGGGCACCTCGACTTACAACTATTGTAAAAATCGGGGTTCCGTCACCATCGTAAGTCCAGGCCTACCTTTCCAGAATTGGTTGGCTTTATCCATTTTTATTGTTCTAGGAATTTATATCTTACAGTTTTAATGTTTTTAAGGCTGCCTGAAGCCGTCCAGTGTGGCTTACGAAATGAGACGGGCAGCAAATACGTTTAGTCCACAAATAAAACAAACAATAAATTTGGATACCTGGACGCCGCAGGTAAGGCAGCACGTAAAACTCCCGCAGAAATTCCTTTGGTGTTTAATGTCATTGATATATTTGGGGTGATTTTCTTTTTGTGTGTTTAATTTTTAGTGTTAGTGTTGGCTGTGGTTGGTTTGTTTTTCTGTTTTCTTAATTTTGTATTTTAATGTTGGAAATAAAAGAAAGAAGGAAGGAAGGAAGGAAGGAAGGAAGAGGGAGGGAGGAAAGAAAGAAGGGAGGGAGGGAGAGAGAGAGAGAGAGAGAGAGAGAGAGAGAGAGAGAGAGAGAGAGAGAGAGAGAGAGAGAGAAAGAAAGAAAGAAAGAAAGAAAGAAAGAAAGAAAGAAAGAAAGGGAGGGAGGAAGGAAAGTGAGAAAGAAAGAAAGAAAGAAAGGAAGGAAGGAAGGAAGGAAGGAAGGGAGGGAGGGAGGGAGGAAGGAAAGTGAGAAAGAAAGAAAGAAAGAAAAAGTGAGTGAGAAAGAAAGAAAGAAAGAAAGAGAGGCAGGGAGGGAGAGGGAGAGAGAGAGAGAAGGAAGGAAGGAGAGAGTGAGAAAGACAGAAAGAAAGAAAGGAAAAGAAAGAAAGAAAGAAAGAAAGAAAGAAAAAGAAAGAAAGAAAGAAAGAGAGGCAGGGAGGGAGGGAGAGGGAGAGAGAGAGAGAGAGAAGGAAGGAAGGAGAAAGAAAGAAAGAAAGAAAGAAAGAAAGAAAGAAAGAAAGAAAGAAAGAGAAAGAGAGGCAGGGAGGGAGGGAGAGGGAGAGAGAAAGAAAGAAAGAAAGAAAGAAAGAAAGAAAGAAAGAAAGAAAGAAAGAAAGAAAGAAAGAAAGAAAGAAAAGAAAGAGAAATTCTTCAACTCCTATGTCCCCAAACATTCTCACGTTTTGCAGGGAAAACAAAATACATTTGTGTGTGAACGCAGCCCAACAACGCAACTCACACAGCCGAGCACGCTAACTTACAGATCCTCGGGAAACATCTCCACATCTGTCTCCATGGGGGAGTAGTCCGGGCCAACACCTGCACGGCAGAAAAAGAGCCTCCAGTGATTACAAATACTCCTCGACTTACAACAGTTCGCTTAGTGACTGTTCGGTTACAATGACTCTCCCCCCAAAATCTGACTTATGGCCGTTCCTCACGCTTACGACGTTTGCAGCTTCTCCATGGCCACAACCAACATTCGGACGGTTGGCAACAGGCTTGTATTTACGACTGTTGCGGTATCCCGGGATCACATGACACCCCCCCCCCCTTTTTGCAACCTTCCGATAAGCAAACTCAAGACCGGCTCGGGAATTCTGGGAGTTGTAGTCCACAGGGTGTAAAGTCGCCCAGCTTGGAGAACCCCCGGTTGAGAGGGTCTGTTATAATTTCAGAAAGTGCCCTAAGATACAGAAGACCCGGTTTGGAAGGGCACGGATTCGAATTCAGTCCCACCCCGCTCAAACCTCACCTGAGTCCGTAGACTCCGAAGAGACTGAGTCCTGAGATGACCATTGCTTCTTGAAGTCCAGGTTGAGCTTCTTCTTCCTTTTGGGGGTGTCCCAGTCACTGCAAAGCAAAGGGGGAGGGGGGTCAGATAGCCCCCCAACGTGTGACTTGTGCCAGAGTCTTTTCCTTTGATTTCCTCTTACATTTTCCCTTCCAGAAATCCAGGATGAAGGTGGCTTATTTTTGTGAGTTCTTCTCCTGTCTCTTTTCGTTCTCTCTAGTTACTCCTCCTCCTTCTCCTCCTCCTCCTCTTCTCTTCCTCCTCCTCCTCCTCCTCCCTCTCTTCTCCTTCTCCTCCCTCTCCTACTCCCTCTCTTCTCGTCCTCCTCCCTCTCCTCTCATCACTTTCTCCTTCTCCTTCTTCTCCTTCTTCTCCCTCTCCTCTCCTCCTCTTCCTCCCTCTCCTCTCCGTCTCTTTCTTCTCCTTCTCCTTCTCCTCCCTCTCCTCTCCTCCTTTTCACCTTCTCCCTCTCCTCTCCTCCTTCTCCTCCTCCCTCTCCTCCTTGTCCCTTTCTCCTCCTTCTTCCCCTCTCCTCCTCCTCCCTCTTCTCCTCGCTCTGCTCCTCCTCTACCCTTCCGCCTTCTCTCCTCTTCTCGTCCTTCTCCCTCTCCTCTCCACCTTCTCCCTCTTCTCCTTCTCCTCCCCCTCTTCTTCTTCTCCGCCTCCTCCTCCTCTTCTCCTCCTCTTCTCATCATGTTTAGCACAAACACGAATTACCAACTCAGAAACCCCTAACAACCCCTGCCAACGGAACCACCTAGATGGTTCCGTCCCAGGCGACTGATGGACCCTGAGAGGTTCCTGATGGAGCTTGGGCCATATCCGGAAGATCTAGTCCACGACTCGGCGGAAAATCAGGCGGCGGCCTGGGAGACAACTGCCGCCGCAGCATTGGACCGAGTCGTGCCTTTGCGGCCTCTGACCCGATGTGGATCTCGACCATCTCCTTGGTTTACCGAGGGGCTGAGAGAGATGAAACGTCGGAAAAGACGCCTAGAGAGCAGTTGGAGGGCCAGCCGAACCGAATNTAATAATAATAATAATAATAATAATAATAATAATAATAAAGTTGGAAGGGACCTTGGAGGTCATCTAGTCCAACCCCCTGCTCAGGCAGAAAACCCTATACCATTTCGGACAAATGGCTGTCCAGTCTCTTCTTAAAAACTTCCAGTGTTGGAGCATTCACCGCTTCTGGAGGCAGGTTGTTCCACTGGTTAATTGTTCCAACTGTCAGGAAGTTTCTCCTTAGTTCTAGGTTGCTTCTCTCCTTGATTAGTTTCCATCTGTTGCTTCTTGTCCTGCCTTCAGGCGCCTTGGAGAAGAGCTTGACTCCCTCTTCTCTGGGGCAGCCCCTGAGATACTGGAAGACTGCTATCATGTCCCCCCTTGTCCTTCTCTTCATTAGACTAGACATCCCCAATTCCAGCAGCCATTCCTTATATGCTTTAGCCTCCAGTCCCCTGATCATCTTTGTTGCTCGCCAGTCAGGAGGTCGCCAAAGGGGATCACTTGATCCCAGGCCACTGCGACCGTCATAAATATGAGCCATCTGAATTTTGATCATGTGACCACGGGGACGCTGCCACGGTCGTAAGTGTGAAAACAGCTATCAATCACTTTTTTCAGTGCCGTCGTAACTTCGAACGGTCACTAAATGAACTGTCGTAAAGTCGAGGACGGTCTGTAATTACAGCATCTCTGGCTCCTGGGATTGTCATTGGCCACCTCCCTAGGGAACTTCTCACAATCAAAAGTCACTGGGGGGATGGGGGGGGGAAGCCAGATTCATTTAACGACCGCCTGTTTCACTTAGTGAATCGCTTTTGGGCAAAAAAATAAAAATAAAATAATTGCCAAAAATTTAACCAGGCCCGTTTTATGAAGCCCAACTCAACCCACCGACTTGCTTAGTAACGGAAAACTTGGACTCAACTCTGGTCGTTAAGATTTGCCCCGAGCATTTGGTGGACGGCCTAGCGTCTATATCAGGGGTCCTCAACCTTGGCCACTTTAAGACTTGTGGACTTCAACTCCCAGAATTCCTCAGCCAGCTTTGCTGGCTGAGGAATTCTGGGAGTTGAAGTCCACAAGTCTTAAAGTGGCCACGGTTGAGGACTCCGCTGGCTGAGGAATTCTGGGAGTTGAAATCCACAAGTCTTAAAGTGGCCACAGTTGAAGACCCCGCTGGCTGAGGAATTCTGGGAGTTGAAGTCCACAAGTCTTAAAAGTGGCCAAGGTTGAAGACCCCTGATCTAAATGCTCTAAATGCTCCCCCGGTTCTTGCAGGGACGCAATCAAAAGCTCTCCGATGACTCAAACTTCTTGGAAACGGGTTGCGCAAAGGGAAGATCTGGATTTAAGCACCCAAATCCCCTCACAGCTGACAACAAGCCAGCCTTAAACCAGGGGCAATAAAGAGATTAAGATCGCACATCCGAAACTGGGCAAAAGAAAACAATCAAATCCCCACGTTTGGCTTCTCTGTTTTCCTCTTCTTGGGCTGACAGGCAGATCCAAACCTTTTTTTGGTTTTTGGGGATTTAATCCTCTGGAATGAGCAGTTTAAAAACCACAGGTAGGCCTCGCTTTATGCCCAAAATCGAGCACGGGGGAAAAAAGCGACTTACTTTTATTTATTTATTTTATTTATTAATTGCATTTATATCCCGCCCTTCTCCTTACGGACTCAGGGCGGCTGACAATTGAATAAAATACTAACATATATACATACTTAATTAAAATTTGATTAAAATGAAATATTTAAATATGTCCAATTTAAAAGTAATTAAAACCCCCTTTAAAATCCCTCAGGCCAGTCCCGCTAGTTGGAACAGCCACGT